TCAGTTCTAATGAGGTGGATGAACCTAGAACCTACTATGCAGAGTGAAGTGAGTCAGAAAGAGAAGGATAAAAACCAGCTAGCTTCTTGATCTGGGGCTTTCTAGGTGTGCATCCATCTGGCCAGTGGTTGGGGCTGTGTCCTGCCAATATAAAGCTAGAAGAAGAGCTCCAAAGGAAATCTCACCAGCACCAGTGTCCTCATGGAGGACAGCTCCTCAGAACGGCTGCTGCCAAGGTCCATGTCCCCAGTTGCTTTCTGACTCCCCAGGAAACTCTCTAAAATCAGCAAGTGGTCTCATCTAAGCTCCACTCAAATGACTGTCTCCACCCTGAGTGGTGGAGTCTGTGTGATTTTCTGTGGACGCTTTTAGGGTGAAGTCTCTACTGTCTGGGTGGCAGATGGTAAAGAATCTGCCTGCACTGTGGGAGCCACGGATTTGATCCCTGGGTCAGGAAGATCCCCTGGAGAAAGGAATGGCTACCCACTCCAGTGTTCTTGCCTGGAAAACTGCATGGACAGAGGAGTCTGGCAGGCTACAGTCCATGGGGCCGCAAAGAGCTGGACACTGACACTTTCCCTTCACTTCTCTGCTGCCTACAGCCATCTTTTGTCTCTCCCAAGGACTCAATGGCCTTCAAAGACATATTGTTTTGTGGCCCATCTTCCTGGTGTAGGATTTCTTGGCTGGGTAGCTCAATGTGGGATTCAGACTTCTCACTCCTTTGTGAGAAACTCTGTAATTGTAGTTATTTGCCCACTTGTGGGTCACCTACTTGAAAGTATATAGTATCTCGACTATAGTGCATCTCCACTCTTCCTATCTGTTTTGTTCTGGTTTCTTCTTGATTTTTTTTTTTTGTTTGTTTGGTTTAGAAACACTTTTTGCTACTCTTTAGGTCTTTCTCATCAGTGGTTGCTTTGTAAATAGCTGTAAAGTGAACCCAGGGTCTTTGCCTGTTGGCCACACTCTCATGTCTGTCTGTCTTTATGCCAAAACCACACTGCTGTGATTTATCATAGTTTTATAGTGCTTTAGAATCAAGAATAGGAGACCCTTAAATTTGTTCTTTTTCGAGATTCATTTTGCTGTCTGGACTCCACTAAGATTTCATATAAATTTTAGGAGGCATTTTTCTATTTCTGCAAACAAGCAAGCAAACCATATTTGGAAATTTTCATAGGCATTGCATTGAATATGTAGATTACTTTAGGTAGCATTGGCAACTTAACAATAGTAAGTATTCCAGCTCATGAGTATCTTTTTATGTTTATGTGTCTTTTTTAATGCCTTTCACCAATATTTTGTAGTTTTCAGTGTAGAAGACTTTATCTCTCACTTAAGTTTGCTCTTAATTATTTTATTCTCTTTGATGCTACTATAAATGAAGTTGCTTCTTAATTTCCTCTTTGTTGTGTTCATTGACAGCATAGAAATTCAACATCCTTTCAGGATGAAAATTTCTTAGGAAATTAGGTACAGAAGCAATGTATCTCAACATGATAGAGCTGTGTATAATAGATCCACAGGGCACATAAGACTCAACATTGAAAAGTTGAAAGCTTTCCCTTTAAAAATTAAGAATAAGAGACGAGTGCATGCTTTCACCATTTTTAAAATACACAGAGCTTAAAAAAAATTTTCTTTGAATTTTTAGTTTTCCTCAAGTAGATTGCATCATCTCTGAAATGAAGTAATTTTATAATTAAATTTTACTTGATTTTACTGTCTGTCACAGTGCTTCCAATGTTAGAAACATTCTAGTGTTTGGATTTCAGCTTTAGCATCACCTTCAAACCATCTTCTCTGACTATATTATCCATAGCAAAAATCACTTATTTCTGTCACCATACTCTATTTGTTGTCTTATTATCAGTGAATAAGTCTATAATTACCTCATTAACTTTTTTCCTTTATTGTTCTACTCTTCATAAGAATATGGGATTCTTGAGAGAAAGAACTTACATGACCCACCCCCATCATTTTACTATTTACTGTGTCCTCACTCATAGTAGAGTTCCTGGCTTTAAATAAGCACTTTAAAGTAAAAACAAAAACAAAACTATTAGATAAATAATAAGTAAATTGGTGATAAAATTATTATATATCTAAACAAAGTTTAAAGCAGAATAAACTTAGTATTAATTAAATAAAAAGAAACAAAAGCTTGCTGTGGCAGTTTGGGAAATATGTCTTTAATTAGGTGAACTAGAACAAAATGCCTGGGCTGATACTTTATTTCTGAGTTGCAATAACTTTATAATTGTTCTAAGACCATATTTTCCTCCATGTTACACTAGCTGTATGCTAGTGAAAGTCACTCAGTCTTGCTCGACTCTTTGAGATCCCGTGGACTATACAGTCCAATGGAATTCTCCAGGCCATAATACTGGAGTGGGTAGCCTTTCCCTTCTCCAGGGGATTTTCCCAACCCAGGAATCAAACTCAGGTCTCCCAGGTTGCAGGCAGATTCTTTACCAGCTGAGCCACAATGGAAGCCCAAGAATACTGGAGTGGGTAGCCTATCCCTTCTCCAGTGGATCTTCCTCACCCAGGAATCGAACTGGGGTCTCCTGCATTGCAGGCCGATTCTTTACCAACTGAGCTATCATGTTACACTTCTTGACCCTAATTATATGATTTGACCTAGCATTGTCTTTATATGTACATGTACTTTAAATATTTCTTGGAAAACCCCAGTGAATTTAATTAAGCAAGAATCTATATTGGACACACTCCAATTTTATGACTCAATGATAAATGTGGGTAGGAGAGGTAAAAGGTCTAGCTATCTTTGCCAATATCAGGACAAAAGTGATATCCTTTTAAGAACTGATATAAAATTTTCAGGGGTCCTTTGTTGGGCTTAAAACATTGCATAGCAAGAGAGAATAGCACAAGAATCTGTCAAAATCTCAGCTCAACTATTCTGGACTTACTAACATGATGAAAAAGAATTAAATGATTGAATGATTTTTTTTTTCTATTTTGAAAATAGTAGGAAAAGAAGTTATGAGAGAAATCTTTTTCTGGGAATTGACAAGTTGCTATCTTACTATGTAAATGTAGGAGTTGTTTGTGTTTTTGGTAAATTATCTTAATGTGGTATTTTTTCCTGTATATGTGTGAATTTTCTTTTAAATAACTTAGAGTACAAATTAAAAAAAAATATTTTGAATAATAAGAAAACTCCATGGAGAAAATGAAGAGCCACTGGAATGATATAAGGAAATAATGCAGCCTTTGGCCCTCTGTTGTCAAACTGGATGAAAGAAGAATTCCAGATCCAAATGAGTGATTTAAAAACTTATTCTGCAGATAATGAGCAAGTCTCCACAGGTAAGATTAACAGTAACTAGTGGGAAGCATACTTCATAATTGTGTGATTTTCTTTATTATGTAGGAAATTACTTTGAAAGTAATCAAATTTAAATTCAATTTCTACTTTTATTACATAAAAATGTGTGATATTGGGAGCATTAATTGGATGTTCTGTGCCTTAAGTTTCTTCAACTGAAATAGAGATTATAGTTCTTGTTGCTGTAAATTTAAATGTGATGTATTAAATTGTAAGTACATGACTGAAATCCAACATAGGAGTTTATCTTTTATTAGAGTATAAGAGCTTTACAATATAATGTTAGTTTCTGCTGTACAACTGAGTTAATCACGTAAATGTACACATATATATCATCCTTCTTAGAACTCCCTCCCACTCTGCCCCCCATAAGTGGGGAACTGCTATATAACATAGGGAGTTCAGTTCAGTACACTGCAGGAGTTTTGAGGGATGTAGCAATATAATTAGAACAAGATTTAAAGAGAATCATGTAGTTTGCTTTAAGATAATTTCTTTTGGAGGCCAGAATAAAAGTGGAAAAGCATGGCAGGAGGCTATTGCATTGGGCCAGGAATAAAGTGGAGGATAGAGAATGATTAAATTTTTGATGTATTTTGGATACAGAGACAACAGGTTTGCTAAAGGTATTCCTAAGTAAGAGAACGATAGGGAGTGAAGAACATTGTGAGGGTTTGTTTTGGGGGATGGGGGGTAGGGGGTCTGAGCAATTACATGAAAGGTGGTATCATTTAATGACATGGGGAACTCCCTTTTCATTATGGAATATTTAAAATTTATTTATATATATACTAAATTGATATCCAATCATATGTCCAAAGTTGGAGATGTTGCATATATTTTGTTTTGTGTTGTTTTACAATATCTAATAACTGTTTTCATTGTCCAGCAAAACTATCAAAGTGTAACAGGTGCTGTATTCCAAAGCTTCATTTGTAATAATTTTTTTTAAGTCATTGTACAGATTTATGTAAAATTTTAAAACAAAGTTGAAAATAAAAGGAAAGATACAGACTGGAGACAAACTTAAAGTGCTTTGACATTTATTGGGCAGAAAATGAGGTATATCCAACTTAAGACCCTAGGAAAGAAGTCTCAATTAGGTTTGAGACAATTCAGGACAGTGACATTCTATTTAAAGTTTTATGTACTCACAATGAATATAGAAATTAGCTTTAATGGATCTCAAGTATTACATCTTTATGACTATAAATGGTGTACTGTTTTTAAGGAATTCCTTTCTCATATTCTCTTGTTCTTTCATATTTCCTTTAAAGCTCCACATTAAATATAGCATCCTCTGAGAAGTCTTCTCTGACTTGACTGATATTACATTCAGTTTGATTGCTATTATAATTTAGCTTGATTTATATATATTAACTCTAAACTTGTGTGAATATTCTTATAAAGGCACTTACTAAAGGGTCAGGAATTTTGTATTATATCATTGAGGTTAGGGAACTATGCCTTATTCAACTTGGTATTCACAATGTCTATGACACATTGGACACAGATAATTCATGTAAACTGTTTTAAATAAATTATGAAAAAGATGAAACTTATAATGCGTTAACTGCACCATCCACCTTGTTTTGTAGGTAAACTACTTCTAGTACGTGAACTCAGCTCCTGTCTACACTAGATGGAACCACAGAACAATGTAACTTACTTTGTCCTCCTGGGCCTCACACAGAATCCAAAGGAGCAGAAAGTCCTTTTTGTTATATTCTTGCTCTTCTACATTTTCACTCTGGTGGGCAACCTGCTCATTGTTGTGACTGTAACTGTCAGTAAGACCCTGAACTCACCGATGTACTTTTTTCTTGCTTGCTTATCATTTATAGACCTAATTTATGCCTCTTCTATCTCTCCCAGATTGATTTCAGACTTGTACTTTGGGGAAAATACCATATCCTTCCAAACTTGTCTGACCCAGCTGTTTACAGAGCACTTTTTTGGAGGATCAGAGATCGTCCTGCTGCTGGTGATGGCCTGTGACCGCTATGTGGCCATCTGTAAGCCCTTGCACTATTTGGTGATCATGAGGCAGAGGGTGTGTTTCATGCTTCTGGTATTGTCATTTGTTGGTGGCTTTGTGCACTCAGTGATTCAACTTATCACTGTTTCTGGGCTCCCTTTCTGTGGCCCCAATGTCATTGATCACTTTATGTGTGACATGTACCCCTTATTGAAACTTGTCTGTACTGACACCTATGTCATTGGCATCTTAGTTGTGGCCAATGGAGGACTGATGTGCACTATTGTTTTCTTACTGTTACTCATCTCCTATGGAATCATCCTGCACTCCCTGAAGAACCTGAGTCAGGAAGGGAGGCAGAAAGCCTTCCAGACCTGTGGTTCCCACATCACTGTGGTTATCTGCTTCTTTGTTCCCTGTATTTTCATGTATGTAAGACCTGCTAAGACCTTCCCTATTGACAAATCGTTGAGTGTGTTTTATACAGTCATAACTCCCATGCTGAACCCATTAATCTACAGTCTAAGAAATTCTGAGTTGAGTAATGCTATGAAGAAGCTCTTCAGAAACAAATATCATATCAATTGGTAAATATATGCATTATTCAACAAGAAGGAAGTAACTCATTATTAGGCCCAATCTTCTTGGAATGTAAATATCTACAGAAATCTGATGCAAGCCTTCCTTTTCTATAAAGGATTTATAATACTTAAAATTAAAGAATAAACTACATGTTTTTGCTATTAGTAGCAGTTTCTCTGTTAGAATGTAAACTCTATGATGTCTGCTTTAACACTGAACTAGAAGGGTAGGATACCTTTGCAACAGGGAGTCAATAAGATGTGGTCTTCCCAGGTGTTGCAGTGGTAAAGAATCCACCTGCCGATGCAGGAGATGCAAGAGACATAGATTTGCTCCCTGAGTCAGGAAGAGCCCCAGGAAAAGCAAATGGCAACCTGCTTCAGTATTCTTGCTTGGAACAATCTATATAGAGAGGAGCCTGATGGGCTACAGTTCATGGGGTTGCCAAGAGTCAGATACGACTTAGTGAGGTAATGATGTTGACAAACTATATGCAATGAATTAATTGATGACATTTTTATGGATTTCCCCTAATTTTCACTTAATTTCTTCATTTACTTTTATTATTTTGTCATTCTTAGTTTTGAGTCTTGCCACTTATCTTTATTATTTTTTAAAATTTTATTAGTTAGAATATTTAACATTATACAGATTATGTCTTTATTTAATTTCATTTCTATCACATATGTATGACATTTTAGTGTGATATTTTGTGCTTTAAAATAAGAAACTGAAAATATAATGGATACTAATAAAAACTAAGAATAGAGTCCATGCACAATGGAATATGTAGAATAAATTTCCTCCTTATCACAAACCGTATTTTTCCCAGGTGTTCCAGATGTAGTTATTCTGTTCCTAAGACTTTTCAAGTAATATTCTTTGCAAAAGCAAGTATATTTTCATAGGAGTGTTTGCAATTATGTCTCTGTATATAAATGCTGCGTTTTATTACTCAGTGTTCTGAAGATCTTTATATACCAGTCTATATACACCTCTTCATACTTCTTAACTTTAGATAAAGATACGTTAGAATTAATGCATCAGGTGTTTTCCTGTTTCTCTCTTTTTCTATTAGAAGTGATTCTGCAAAAAGTCTTTACAAAATTTTCTAAACCTGGGCTGGTGATCTGCCCAGGTTGGATGCATGAGACGAGTGCTCAGGGCTGGTGCACTGGGAAGACCCAGAGGGATCCGGTGGAGAGGGAGGTGGGAGGGGGTATCGGGATGGGGAATACATGTAAATCCATGGCTGATTCATGTCAATGTATGTCACATACCATTACAATATTGTAAAGTAATTAGCCTCCAACTAATAGAAATAAATGGAAAAAATTTTTTTCTAAACATGAGTTCCTAGAAGTGGAATTGTTGAGTCAATTGGTATATGTGTTTAAAATGCTGATGCTTATATTTATGACCAAAATGCCATCCACAGCATTCAGCTAAGCCCATTGTTCCCCTCATTCTGTAAAATATCTGTTTTGACACATCATCTGCAACCGGTGATTGATAAATGCTTTTTTAGTGTTTGACAGTCTAATGATACTGTATCTCATTTGCACACTTTAATTGCAAATAAATACAATTTAATTTGGACATCTATTCACATATTATAAATGATTTACATTATTTTTCATAAAATGTCTATTGATGAATTATGTGTGATATTGCTTTTTTCCATACTGATTTTATGATTTAGTTAATTACTAAAGACATTATCCATTTTACCATATATGTGAAATTAAATGAAATTTTCCAGTTTATTATTATTCTTTTATTTCTATACTCTTCAGAATACATTGGATCATGTAGAAATAATTTTGCATTTCTATAATTAAATCCATCAATATTTTGTGTCTTTAGTATCTTGCTATGAATTTACATATTTCAATGTTATCAAAATATTCTCCCACATTTCTTCAACGTTTAAGATCAGGTAATTTCATTGTTTTACATTTAAATTTTTGAACCATTTACAATTTTGTGTAAAGAGTTAAGCAGGGAATAAATTTTAATCATTTTTGAAGAAGGCCATTTTTATAGATGCAAAACTCTTTTCCCTCATGACTTGATATCTGAACTTTGTATTCTGAAATATGATATATGTTTGAATTAAAATCAGGTCACAATTAAATTCCAGTGATTTCTTTATTCATTTATCACTTAACATATGATATGATGACACTTGATTTAAAAAACAGTTTAATATCTCATAAGCCTGGAACTCCTTCATTATTTTCCTTATCAGAATTACATTTATTCTTGCATATTTATATATTAAAATTAAATTTCAATAAGGTAGTCTAGTGAAAGTGAGTAATTAATATTTTCAATAAGATTTGATTGAGAAAGTATTTGTTATCTTCAGAGAATTAAGAATTCTTGTCCACACACTGAGGAGGTATTTCCATTTAACAAGTCTTCTTTTATGTACACATAGATCTAGTATGTTTCTTTGAAGATTTCACCTTTTTGAGATTTTTTTTTTTTTTTGCTTCTGTTGTATCTAGGATCTTGTCTTCTGTTGCATCTTCCAATTGTTTGATGTTCAATGTAGTAATGCTTTTTGTTTTCCATTTTTATATAAAATGTAACTTCATAGTTTGTTATTCATCTTTTTAGTCAGAGTTCTGCAAGTATTGAAAAATGCATACTGTTGAGTAACCACCATATTATTAGTATGCAGTGTATTCATATATATTTAAGGTTTTCAGTTCAGCTCAGTCGCTCAGTCATGTGTCACTCTGCAACCCCATGTACTGCAGCACGCCCAGCTTCCCTGTGCATCACCAACTCCCGGAGTCTACCCAAACTCATGTTCATAGAATCGGTGATGCCATCCAACCATCTCATCCTCTGCCATCACCTTCTCCTCCCACAATGTTGTGTTAGTCTCTGTGGTACAAAGAAATGAATCTGCTATATTCAAACCCTCTTGGATCTCCCTCTCACCACTCCCTGTGCTCACAGCAGGTTCCCATTAGCTATGCAGTTTATACATGGTGATGGATGTTTGCCAATCCTAACTCATCCCTCATCCACCTTCTGCCCTTGCATCAATGTCCGTTCTCTTTGTCTTCGTCTGTATTCCTGCCCTGCAGATAGGTCCATCTGTACCATTTTCCTAGATTCCATATTTATGAATTAATATACAGTATTTCATTTTTTTCTTTCTGACTTACTTCATTCTGTATGACAGACTCTAGGTCCCTAGGTCCATCCACATCTCTGCAAATGGCCCAATTTTGTTCCTATTTATGGCCAAGAAATATTTCATTGTATATATGTACCACATCTTCTTTATCGTTCATCTGTCAACAGGTATTGAGCTTGCATTTTTCTCATGGGTATTGTAAATATTGTTGCAATGAACATTGGGGTATATATGTCTTTTTGAATTATGGTCTTCTCAGGGCTTATGTCCAATGGTGGGATTGCTGGGTAGATTTATTTTTAGTACTTTAAGGAAACTCCATACCATTCTTCATGTGGCTGTATCAACTTACATTCCCAACAACAATTCAAGAGGGTTCCCTTTTCTCCACACTCTCCCCAGCATTTATTGTTTATGGATTTTTTGACAATAGCCATTCTGACTGGTGTGAGGTGATACCTCGTGGTAGCTTTGATTTGTATTTCTCTAATAATTAGTGGAAATTACAGGAAAACAACAGAATGGGAGAGACTAGATATCTCTTCAAGAAAATTAGAGATGCCAAGGGAACATTTCATGCAAAGATGGGTTCAATAAAGGATAGAAATGGTATGGACCTAACAGAAGCAGAAGATATTAAGAAGAGGTGGCAAGAATACACAGAAGAACTGTACAAAGAAGATCTTCACAACCCAGATAATCATGATGGTGTGTTCACTCACCTAGAGCCAGGCATCCTGGAATGTGAAGTCAAGTGGGCCTTAGAAAGCATCACTATGAACAAAGCTAGTGAAGATGATGGAATTCCAGTTGAACTATTTCACATCCTGAAAGATGATGCTGTGAAAGTGTTGCACTCAATATGCCAGCAAATTTGGAAAACTCAGCAGTGGCCACAGGACTGGGAAACGTCAATTTTAATTCCAATTCCAAAGAAAGGCAATCCCAAAGAATGTTCAAACTACCAGACAACTGCACTCATCTCACACACTAGTAAAGTAATGCTCAAAATTCTCCAAGCCAGGCTTCAGCAATACATGAGCTGTGAACTTCCAGATGTTCAAGCTGGTTTTAGAAAAGGCAGAGGAACCAGAGATCAAATTGTCAACATCTGCTGGATCATCAAAAAAGCAAGAGAATTTCAGAAAAACATCTATTTCTCCTATTGACTATGCCAAGGTCTTTGACTGTGTGGATCACAATAAACTGTGGAAAATTCTGAAAGAGCTGGGATTACCAGACCACCTGACCTGCCTCTTGAGAAACCTATATGCAAGTCAGGAAACAACAGTTAGACCTGGACATGAAATAACAGACTGGTTCCAAATAGGAAAAGGAGTATATCAAAGCTGTATATTGTTACCCTGCTTATTTAACTTATATGCAGAATACCTCATGAGAAATGCTGGGCTGGAAGAAGCACAAGCTGGAATCAAGATTGCCGGGAGAAATACCAATAACTTCAGATATGCAGATGACACCACCCTTATGGCAGAAAGTGAAGAGGAACTAAAGAGCCTCTTGATGAAAGTGAAAGAGGAGAGTGAAAAAGTTGGCTTAAAGCTCAACATTCAGAAAACTAAGATCATGGCATCTGGTCCCATTACTTCATGGGAAATAGATGAGGAAACAGTGGAAACAGTGTCAGACTTTATTTATCTGGGCTCCAAAATCACTGCAGATGTTGTCTGTAGCCATGAAATTAAAAGACGCTTACTCCTTGGAAGGAAAGTTATGACCGACCTAGACAGCATATTAAAAAGCAGAGACATTACTTTGCCAACAAAGGTCCATCTGGTCAAGACTATGGTTTTTTCCAGTGGTCATGTATGGATGTGAGAGTTGGACTGTG